GGGGATCCAGGTCACGCACTCCCCTTCCCAATGGGGGTACTAGGATTGCTAGGAAAGTGACAGACAGACAGATATTGGGGGAGGAAATTGGGGGATGGACTGACTACCCTTCTTCGCATCTTCTTCATCCAACAAGGAAATACTTACTCGGCCTCACTCACTATTGGCGAGCATACCCCTAAGGGGTCCTCAGGGATGATGTCACACCAATGCGGATATGTCAGTGCTCTGGATCTGTATAGCACCCTGCAACTAACTAACTAGCGTGCTGCACAAATTGTACCAAGATGGGCGCCCACACAGGATCCAGTGCTGAAAGCTACATTATATGCCGGCCCCGCATCTTCTGCCTATATCTTTGTGGGGTCTGGGACATGAGGTGGTGAGGTAGCCAATTGCAGTAGAAGAAAACTTGATTTTAGACATCTTAAGGTAACATTAAACACAGTCTCTGAGAGAGAGAGAGAGAGAGAGAGAGAGAGAGAGAGAGAGAGAGAAAGAAGCATGTCCTTCTCCTAAGGACACTGGCAAAAAATTGCCCTGGCCAGTGTCCAGTCACCTGACGATATGCTATATAACCCAATCCATCCTGATTGGCCCGGTGTGCTGTACTGTGCAATCAAGAAATATATATTTATAAACGAAGGTGAACTAGTAAAGCTCTGTATTTGCTAGAATGAAATATTTGTGTGGTCAAAATTCACTTTTGTATTCCTACATTACAGAGAGACCAAAAGGGAAAACTCTGGATAAAATGTTACAAAATATTCTTTAAGTGTGCCTCAGAGCATTTTAGGATATAAACTACCACCTTGTATTCCAAGCCTGCCATTACCAAGCACTTAGTGCGATACCATATAGAGATAATGGCAAGATTATTACTCAGGAAGAATAGATATACATGAAGAGCTATAATTTTTTTTTTAAGTGCAGAATCACAGGCAGCAGCAAGGCCATGCATGTAAGGGACAATCATTGGGATTGTATAGTAAAATAGTCGAAAAAAGATGATGTTGCAAGAAGTCTTGTAATCCATAGCAACTTTTAAGAGTTCAACATACTGTAATCATATCAGCTATGCAAAGATTTCTGATCGTCTGTTATTGGATACAGTCTTCTGCACTTGATCCTCATTTGTTTTTTATTCAGGTAAATTTTTTTAGAAGCACACCAACATTTAACAAAAGCTGTTACATATTGTAATGCACTGAAATGCTGTCTGTTGAGCCGATTACTAGGCTACATACCAAAAGACACTATGGGTAGTGTTCTATCTCTCCTGCTTTGAGGGTAATGCTGCATTATGTAAGTTTTGTTTTCCTGTCTCACAGGGAGGACCACAAAGCTCACATAAACCAAAGATATAAGCTCACTTAGTCAGGTCTTCTTATTCTGACTCCGATTGTTGTGATAGTGATTTATCCCTTGTGAGACCTCTATGGCATGTATAAGCAGATTCAATCACTGTGGACATTCATTGTCAGATAGCTGAACTCACCAATACCGTTTCATCCAGAAAGGTTGCTTTATTCTGCACATCAAACAACAGGATACAGCAGATGGATGGTTTTCAGTATTATTGCGGTCAAAAAATGATGCCTTTTCTAGCGTACTATGTAGAGTACATGTGTCCTAGTTACATGTGGCCTGTTAGCTGTGGCCATGACACAGGAAATACTGACCTCAGGAAGAAGGGTGGGGCTTACATACAGAGGAAATATGTCACAAAGGAAACACAGAACCTGTTTGATACCAAGAAAGGCCACTAGATGGCAACATAGGAACTAAATATAGAATGACTATAGAAAATGGTATAGGGAAAAAACACTATATAAATTCTCATCTACTAATAATACTAATATATTATATGCCCCATTGTAGTGCCCCATTGTATGCCCCATAGTAGTGCATCTTATTTTATCTTACACCAAGACAGTGCTATACCAACTAAATAGCATATTCATCAACCAAGTCTGGATAAAGCACAGACGAAACATACATAGGCAATTGCTCTTATGAGAATATTAATGGTCCAGCACCCTGGACTTTAGTATTTTTTTATGAATAAATGTATTAAGTTTCTCCCATGCCTACGATGTGTGACCAAGCTTTATTTATTTATCATTTATGTCCGTGTTGCTGTTAAAGAGTTTACCTCACTTCCTGGTTAATGAAACATTGTAAGCAGTACAGAAAGTGTTGGGAAATATTTCAAACAAATAACAGTAAAAAACAGAAGAGGTTCTATCCATTACCTTCTTTAGCCAAAAGTAAAGAAAAAACGTTTTTGGCTTGACATACCCTTTAAAACCCCCTTTTTTTTGGCGTGGAGCGGGTGCAGGTGTATATCGGTAAGTTAAGGCATTAACATACATGACTACATATACTAAATATTTCCACACACATATCTGTAACAAAACACACATATACTGTATATGCATTTACCTAAGAACTGCTTTACCAATTTATACAATTTTCAAGACACCGCAATATTACATTTTGATATTTTTGATATTAGGGAATGTTAACCTATACTTTTTGGGGGGTTTGGTTGGTATTTGGGTGCTTGGCAACCAGTGATCTTATTCGTTGCCAGGAGCTGGGCAGGATGGCCGCCAGAGTGTTCAAGATTGCGAAGAACTGGGAGGGGAGATGTTTATGGCCCCAAAGGTGCCCACACACCTCTCTATGCACAGCAGGTAGAATACCTGACACAGCAATACTTGAGGTAGAAGTCACTAGTCATAGTCATCCTTGTCATCTGTAGTAACCACTGGGCCTCTAGCCATAAAGTTCCAGTGTAATCACATGGCTAGTCCCCAGGCTTCAGGCCTAGCCATCTCAGACAGTCCATAGTACAGGCTGGGCCCAGGGGAGGAAGAGAGAGCTCACATGGGTCCACCCCAAGTATTTATCTCCTCCCCCAGCATGCACCACTGGGGATTGTCTAACAGTGATTGGCTGGAGAGGGATATCTATTCACAGCAATCTCTCATGGGTTGCTCTGCTCTGTGACCAGGGTACACCCAGCAGCAGACAGATGAAAATGATGACAGATTGATTAGGGGAAACCAAATGAACCCAGACTACAAATCAGCATCAGCTTGCATACAATCTGATAACACTACATTTAACATCACTCTTTCCTACAGGGTGCTACATGTACATAACAATTAGATTGTTACTGTCTTTGTGCTATGGCCGAGTTTTCCTAACTGCATGACAGTCACACTTTTTAAGCAGAGTATATAGAAGCATTGTTAGTGATGCCTTAGAGCAACAAATACCACATGTGTAATCATGTAATTTTCTGCAACATGTGTGCTGTAATAATTAGTAAATATGTTTGAACATAATTCATCACTAATAGTGATTAATTTCTAACTGCATGCCATCATATCACATACCATTAAATGCGGTGTGCCAGCATTCTGCCACTTTCAAATGCAGCTGCTGTCAACCACACTTATGTACCCACTAGAGCCAGTTTGGAAGAAAGCCAAGGAATTTACCAATGTTTTAGATTGTGAGAAGAAACTCACTCAAACTTCATAAAGTTAGCATCCAGGATAAGAGAGCCCAGAGATGCATGGCAAGAGTACCAAATACTCAAAGGCTTCCTTTCTTTATGCCACCCAAGAATGCTTGGGTGCTCCCTGAAGCATAACACTTAATTTTATGTAATAAAAGTCATTATTAGTGAGAAATAAACCCTACTAAAATGATACTTTGGCTTTCAGCTGTCAACACAGCAAGTCTGCCCCACATTACCCTCCTTATAACCTCTGTCTTCACACTAACCTTCCCTATAACCTCAGCCTTTATACTCATCCTTCCTGTGACCCTAACCTTAAAGCAGAACTGGACCCACCAATTGAATGGTCTCCCAAAATAATTACTTTCAGGGTATGTCAACTGTCAAGGTTAGCAGTGTGCTTATTTCAGCTCTCAACCAAACTTTCAGGCCCTGAAATGGCTGGTGTCATAGCTGATCACATGTGCAGCACCATGGCAACTGCAAGCCAAACAGAGGCCAAGATGGCACCTTCCTTGGTTATAAAGGATAAGAAGTTGTAGTTCCGTTTAATATAATTAGCTTAATATTAGGCATACCATGATGGCTGGTACAAGATTGTCCCATGATCTCCAGTAGCCACATCTCAGTCAAGGAATGGATGGGGCTATACAAGGTTAATTTTGCAGAAACAACACGTCAATCTACACACGTTATAATGAGCACCTGCCTTAGGGCCTGTGCAAACGGGCTGTTATTCACTGCAAGCATGTTTTGCATTCCCGTACTAGTCTATGGCAATGCAAACCCTGCTTGAAGCTGGTCATATGCAGTTCAAGTGCACATCTCATGATATCAAACTGATGGGAAACTGATGCCAAAGGCAGAAGCCTTTACGAAGGCCTGTATTGCACAGCCGAATTCGTCAGGTGTGTTCTCACACCATCAGATACCATTATCAGTCTGTGTCTGCATGGATACGCTAAGAACTAAACTTCACTCAGTCAGTTATAATGATGTTGTTAATTCCAAATACTTTTATTTGTTTTAATTTAATATTGATGAAGTGAAGATGAAATATCTTTATTATAAAATGAAAAAGCAGTAAAAATAGAAAGATCAGATGTCTCCAACATATGTCCTGAATCTCTGGCTACTTTGAGTTTTATGAGTCAAACACGGCCAAGCTAAAAAAAATATTTGCACCTGCTCATCTACTCATGAACAATCCTCGAGATACAAGTAACCTTCATCTCCTAGGAAAGATAACCCCCCAGCGGCTGCATGTTTGAATGCCTCGCTTCACAGCATTAAAACAAACACACAGGTTTTTCTGTTGACTTATCCTCTGTAAGCTTTATGCACTCTGTTTCACATTTTATTCTATGGCAGTGAACTGTTTAATTTGTACCGCTAAGCCTAATTAACCAAATTCCATAGGGATCTTGCCATGTCAGATGTAAACCGTGTTAATTCGATTGTGCAGGGCCTGCTCGGAGAAAAATATGGAACCATTCGAATCCCAGGAGAAGTAGAATCATCTGAATTTGAAATGATTCTGGATGCGGCGATTGAAGCCAAACTGGAAACGAGGACCCTGGAAGAGTGGTATTGTAGAGATGAAAATGCTGTCCCCCCGGCGTATTACCTCAAACTGAAAACAGAAATGATGAAGAATCACAACAACCCTGTGAGTATTACATGTGACCTGAGGGCTTCTTTACCTGAGGACAGAATATGTGTCATTGCCTTTGATACTGTACAGCAGCATTAGGGGAAAAAAGAGCAGTGGCACTTTAAATGGGATGAAAAAATATTAAAACTGGTCATCTAAGAGCAAAACAAATATGTACAAACCGATTTGAAAAATGTAAAGCGTTATTCTTGTTGGAGCAAAAATACCCTATGGGGGAATCAGTGCCTCTATTCAGTTTGCTCAGGTAAGATTTGAAAATGAGACAGAGAAGCTGATTAGTTACAGTGCAAATCTGTTCCAGATTTGATAAATTGCCCAATGCATCTTATGTAGTCAGGGACTTATGTATGAAACGTGCAAACAATAATGTGGGGCAATTCAATAGGGCACTTGCGACACATTTCTTTCTGGTGGTGTGGATGTAGTCAGAAGCCGTGCTCCATATTCATTGTTAGTTCCAACGAGTGCAACAAATTCAGGTAGCTTTTCTTCGGGACACTTTTAGAGTATGTTCCTATAGCTGCGACAAATTCAAAATGAATTACCGCCATATTGTTAATAAGGAAAGTGGAGGTAAATAGGACGTCTTCCATGTTTGAGTAAGTTGTTTGTGTTATATGGTTGTTGTTTTTTTAATGTGTCGCATCTTTGCGACAAACTCTGCAAAAAAAAAATCCGGAACCTATCTATGGAAGCTGGGTACATATAACTACATTCAGGGAGGCAGGATGTGGTCATATCTTTGGGAAGCAGCAGAGAATTATCTCCAGTAGAACCTGAGTACATATAACTACATTCAGTGAGGCAGGATGTGGTCAGATCTTTGGGAAGCAGCAGAGAATCATCTCCAGTAGAAGAAAATTTGGAAAGGTTCTATTTGTATTATCTACAAACTTTTAAACTTCCTTTAAAGCAGAACTCCGGGCAGAAGTTTTCCTAACCCTTGCAGCTGGGCTACCCCTGCACTGCAAGGGTTAAGTGCTGGTTTGTGTCGAGATGCTAAAATAAAAGTTATACTCACCCAAACTGTGGCGCCATCTGCGCACTTCTCTGGCCACTGAAGCCTCTCTCTTCCTTCACTGCAGCAATGGTATATCCCTCGGTGTCATCACGTCCTATACATTGTATAGAATGTGATGACTCAAGGATCCTTAGAACACTGCAGCGAAGGGGGAGAGACGCTCCAGGGAAAAGCTTAAAGTCTAAAAGCAAGCCAAGAATCAGGCAAATGTAAAGCATCTAGACACAAATGAGCACTTAACTCTTGCAGTGTGGGGGTAACCCAACTGTAAGGGTTAAGAGTCACTTTGCCCAGAAGACTGTTTTAAGCTTCATTCACACCTACGCTCAGAGGATTTCTATTGTATTCAATTGCCCCAGTTCACATCTGAGCGTTCTGTTGCCTATAGCCAAATGCCTGCTGCTGAAAAAAAGTACATGAGCTACTGTCTGTAAACACAGACAGTAGCTTCCCTTCTGGTAGTTTCCCTTCTCTTTGCTACTCTTCCTTTTAAATCCTCATGTCTTCTCATGCTGGGGGAGAACTTCCCTTTGCAGCTGAGTGCCTCTTCCTGTAGTGCTGGCTCAGGTTGCAAACCTACACACAGACACCATGTATCCATTTCAGAGACAAGGCAGTCTGCTGCAAAACAGAAGTTCTGCCCAGCATGAGAACAGATACAGATTTAAAAGGAAGAGCAGCAAAGAGAAGGGAAACAACCATGGATTACAGTAAGGCACACATTACAGTATTGTTTTTTGTTAAAAAATCTGAGGGTTTAATGTCACTTTAATAGGTTTTTCTGCAGCAATTCCTGAAAACGTTCTTTAACCACTTAACCTCCAGAGTGTTTTTTGCTGAAATGTTGTCTGCATTTGTGGATAGAAATTTACTTAAAAACCCAACAACTGTATTTTCTGAAAGCAGAGATCCTGTAGAAAAAAAAGATAGTTGCAGTTTTTTTTATGTTGCACAGTGTTTATCAAATCTACAAGTACATTTTCAGGAAAAAAAATACACTTAAAATAATCTTATTGCACACAAACACAATACGATCCCCAATTTCTTGTATGAAATAAAAGGTGTTGTGTCAAGTAAATAGCAACCAAATATGTCAAGCTTCAAAACACCAAGAAACGGTGAAAACGTATCGTACCCAAAATTATCAATAAGCAATACTTTAAAAGTCACTACTACACATGTGCAAATTATAAAAATTCATTTTGGACGAAACTAATGAAAAATAACAACATTTTAATTTGTTTAGTCAAATTAAACTAATTATGCTATTTCGGATTCATAGGCAAAGAATCTCCGAATCCGGAACCGCACAAGTAGATAGAAGAATGCACCAAGATAGCAGTGCCCATACAGGTGTGCAACGTCACCCGACGCCTCGCATGCGCGGTATCATATGACATCATGTCCCCCTCCTCCAAGATGGCAGTGTGCATGTGCAGAACATGCTGGTGGCCAATATGGCCGCCGCACGTTCTGCCAGCGAATTATTATGTGCCCGAATATTCGGTAATTCCTATCCAAATGCACAAGTCTAGCCACTACCATCATCAGTTTAGAGCTGACCATAAATGAAGAACCTAGACTTACTTCTCTTTCTCTGGCTTGCGCAATGACACCTCTCAACAGCTCACTACAAGATCCCTTGTATATTGAAGCCTGAATTCTTCTGAACAAAATAGAAACAAGCTCACTGTCTCTTGAAGCCTGGGCATACCAGACTAGTCCAAATAGCTCATGGGGTTAAGTTATTTTGGAACTAATATTTTTCTAATCCCGTTTGCTATTCATCAATGACCTGGAGAGTCAACTGTATGGGCTCATTCACATGGACATGGAAGCAACGCAAGAGCAGAATTTCATATGTAAATATGCATGCTTGTAGACATATGTATTCACATGTATGCTCGCATTTGGTCCATATACATTTATATGCATACAAATGTTCCTTAAGCACCAGGAACTTTAGGCACGTACACACTATTTGCAGCCCCGGACGCAGCTCTGTTCCATTATTTTGTGGGCATCTGTTCGCACAGACAAAAACATATTTTTATTTGAGTAGGGAGAAGGGGTTAAAAGATTGTTTTTATTGCTGTCTGTGCCTTCCTGTCCAGGTGACATCTGCAACTCTACCTTCTTGTACAGGTATCATAGATAAAGGAAGTGAGGAAAATACGGAAATGGCGTGAAATGGCGTGAAAATAAAACACAAATACAAATGATTCAGGTGTCCATACACCTTACAATTATCTGCGGATCTTCTGTGGTCAGATGGAAAAAGTGCAACAGATTGGCCCAGCTGAAGATTACTCCATCCACACAGTTAAGTGTAGATGGAGGAATCTGTTGCACCTTTTCCATCTAAACACAGAAAATCTGCAGATAATTGTAAGGTGTATGGCCAGCTTTACCCACTCTATCCAGAACTACTGGCTAGAACTACAACACCTTGTTAGCATATTCTGTACGGGGATCTCCTGTGCTAAATACCATCCCATGCTGCTCCAAAGGTTACTACAGTCCTAGTGCATATCAACTGCTTAGAATGGGGAGTGCCTAATACATGCTAGGTACCTTACTGACAGGTCTATTTACAAAAGGGTGAAGAGTTTGGAGAAGGCCGGAGAAGTGAACAATCTAGGACAACATAGCTGAACTGGAAAGTGAGCTGAATTGGAGAATGTTTTGAAATCAGCTATGTTGTCCTAGATTGTTCACTTCTCCTGCCTTCCCCAAACTCTTCAACCTTCTGTGAATTACCCTGTGAGTGCTTTCTTTTAGAGTTCAGGCTTTAGGTAACAATAGGCAGCAATGTGTACCCTACGTAAGATTGTTCCATTGTTTTATGGCCCAGTTTGTCCAGCTGGGGAGAAAACATTGAGGCCCCTTTCACACGTGCTGATGAGGAGGTGATCCTGCACAGATCTCCTCCTGTTTGCCAGAGTATGGATCGGATGTGACATTCAGTTTTTTTTCTCCATCTTCTGTCCATTTACATTAGATTACCCCTGATCTGGCACGATCAGGTCTGTCTGTTTTTCCAGACCTGGCGGAGTCGGGGGTAACCCGGTGTAAATGGACGTCTATCTGTTTATACCTTGCTGCCCATAGACTAGCATTGGGCATCCGTTCGGGTACGCTTGAAAAACCGACAGGTGGAACTGATCGGACCACCCGTGTGAAAGGGGCTTATCACTTAAACAGTAACACTTGAATATGCATCTCGTTTAACACAGTAACTATATTACACACACTTCATAAATGTTTCTTGTCAGTTTCAATATTTCGAGAAAGTGGAGCTGTTAATGTTCCAGTGACAGTCACTTGAACATTGATAATTTTCCTGTCTGGCCAGGTACTCTTCAGCACTGAGCTGTGTAATCCATTGTTAATTCTGGATAGATTCCCTCTGTGTCCTCTGATATAATGTCCTTTCTGATTATTCTCCTGCCAATCACTTTAGACTCTGTGGAACACAAACAAAGGACTGCTGCCATATAATGCCCTACTGAGTAAATATACTGTACTTTCTAGAACATCTGTTCCTCTCGTATTACTCCAGTTATGCTGATGAATATAAATGTATGTATATTATGCAGCCAAAACATTTCTGCTTTAGGTTTGGCTACACAGGGGAATTGTTAGTGTGACGTACGCCCGTCCCAGACCCGCTGTACGTCAATCCCACGTGACCATACACAAGTCTGAACCGAGCGTGAGCGTCACAAGGATGTGGCGATACCACTCTCAGCCTCACCCTGCGCAGAGATTTCCCAGCTCACAGGACACAATCTCAGGCCAGCAGACTGAGAGCGATCGTCACCAGGGTTGGTTAACTCCGCAGTTAACCCTTTACCCACCAAACTTCCACTGCCACCATGTGTTTTTCGGAACACAAACTGTGCCCAGCAAATGCTGCGAATATTCAAAAGACTTAAACAATGCCTGTGATAGCGCTGTCCTCTCAGACAGGAATA